CACCTATCATTTCTCATGTCCCTGCCATCTCTGTCCACAACTATGTGACAGTAAATTGTTGTCTTTGACTGTGCACACAGAGAAATGAATTTCCACACGCACATAAATCCAAAAAGTCGAGTGTTGGAATCACTGAGGCCCACGATGTGCAGTTGTGCCAGTTCTGGGAGAGTGAAAATTTGCTCTGCAAACAGAAGTTTTGAAAACTGAATGCTTTTTCAAATGCTAAGGGGAGAGTGGTTGTTACGGGAACTCAGCTGAGGTCAAGCGAATCATCACCTCTGGTTTACCTATCCGGCAGAGCCGGAGTCTGGCAATTTGATTTCTTCAAAGCCAGTCACGTGTCTAGTCTTGGCGGTGCCAGAGAGCGCTTCCACGCCTTCCCTGAATTATAATGACAGGCTTTCTGTTTCTGAAAGACAAGCAGGAGGCACCTTGCTCCAAACCGTGAGACATGACCTAAGAAGGTCTCTCAAATCGAACTTCTGCTCCCGGGCTGGGCCCGTGAACAACCCCAGCTGGTTTGTGAGCCCAGGTTCAGGGATCTCTCCACAGCCTGAGTGGTTTTGAGGCACAGAGAGTAATGTCCCTGTAGTTAAAACACATTTTTTTCTCAGTCAGTTAAGACCAGCTCACATCCTGTCCCAGAGGCCACGGGAGGCCAGGAGGCAGCCACCCAGGGAGAGGGAGCTCTGCACATTTGTTGAGGCTGGGCCCAGCAAGCCCAAAGGCAGGTCCTGTAAGAATTAGAATTGTCACACTCGTCCCCTTCTGGCCTCATTCTTTCCTATAAGAGGATCCCTTTCAGAGTCAGGGCTGTGGTGACAAAAGGGAAGAACAGGTTCCTAAAGGCAGGGCTATGAGTTATGGATTGAAGTTTTATTTCCTGGTGCTATATCAGACCACAGCTGGGCCTTCACATGTAACATTTCTACCACAATTTTGTCTTCAGACAAAAGTAAAGGCAGATACCAGCTCAGCCCATGAGAGTGCCACTGTCAGTGGGTAAAGTACGTCTGTCCTGCCTGGAAGGACCATTGATGGCTGATGGGGAGAGGTGGAGGGCAAAGAAGGGGAGGTGGTGGGCAGAGCCTAGGGGCCAGGGATCGGCAGGATTGCACCCCTGGAGCAGACCCCTGATGCTGCCATGGTGGGAAGGTGGAAGCAAAGCTTGCAAGTCCTTGAACGACAAGGTGAAGAGCGCAGACTTGGTCCTGTGCCCAGCAAGGCCTGGAGTCTTCCAGCAGGTGGCATGGATTGATGGAATGGTTTGGGAGAGAACAAACACACACACATAAACACACACACATACACACATACACATTTGGTGGTGGCGTAAATGGACTATGAACACACAAATGAAAGAATGAGAACCTAAATAGGAAGGTGGACACAGGAGAGGAAAGAAGGGCATGGATTTTGGGACATGAGGAGGAATTGTCAGCACTGGATGGTTGGGGGGACTGGGATGCCTTGTGGAAGTGGTGGATGCAGGAAAAGGAGGGATCAAGGATGACTTTGAACATCCCTGCCCCGAACTCAGGACCACCTAGAACTTCTCCAGCCTACATGATGTCTTTCTTACACAAACTCTTTCATTCAATGCACCCTTGAAATCTGATAGCAATAGGTGTTCACTTCTATGACTCAAAAACAGGTAACTCTGGCTGCCTTGCCTAGGGCATCAGTCCCGTGCCAGTGCCATGTGTTTGCAGAGCAGGAAGACACCATTTTTCACAGATGGTTGTGGAAAATGAAAAACTGTGCTGCGGAAGACTGTGGAAAATGTATTTGTCCAGCATAGGATGCACATGGCCAGAGCTTCCACGATGTGCTTCCCCATGAACAAGAACCCTGGGGCATGCTCAGTTATCCCAGAACCCTCAGACGATCCCTGTGTTATCCTCACGCCTCCTGTCTTCCGACTTATCTGAGTCATTTCCATGAGCCAGGACAGATGGGAAACCACAAATCAAGGCTTCCTACTCATGGTTAGCAACTGAGGTTTAGAAACACAAACTAGATAGGGGAGAATAACAAGTGGTCCAATGATGGCCTTTCAATTATCTGTGCTTTACACAAAATCATGTGAGCACTAACAGCCAAGAAAGGGATACTACACGTGTGGAATTCAGCTATGAGCCAAGAATGCAACCAAGAATCCCCGCGCTTTATGAAATGATCCCATCCAGTTATAGGGCATCACTGACGTTGCTGAGAAATGCACCACGGTAACATAAAGGTCACTCCAAAACTTAGCTGCACCCGCCCCCCTCCTAGACAGTCTGGTGCCAACCTCAGCTCTCCAGCCAAAGGTCACTTCCTCAGGAAAGATTTCTCTGGAACCCCAGGTTAGGTCATACATTCTCAGAGCCCTTTTTACTTCTCACATGAAGCATTGTTTCCTTTTATAACTTATAATTACATGTTTGGTGTTATCATTATTTGATTAATATCTTTCTTTGCTACCAGACTGAAAGTTCCATGAGGTCAGGTGTGGCTTCTGGTTTTTCTTCTCTCCCTGGCTGAGTACAGAGCTTGGCTGATCACAGGTGCTCAAAGATGTGAGTCAAAATAAAGCAGGGCCAGTGGGTTCCAGGAGGGGCTGAGCGACAAACCAACTCAGCACTAAACTCTCCTCCAGCTTGTTAAAAATGAACTTCCAAAGAGTCCATACTGAACGTCCAAAGGGCAGTTGACCTCATCCTTGCAGATAACTACATGCCTAACTCTGGAGACTAATTATGAAATAGTCGTAGCAAAGAGTAAAACTGTCTATAAAGAAGAGGAAAGAAAGAAAGTGTAAAGTACCTATATCATTTACACGAAACATCTAACTTTAATAAATCCTCTTCACCAACATTGTCCTCAAGGCTATTTGACTCAGGAGAGGTTATAAGGTAGGACTCGCCCTCAGCAGGTCCAGGCAGGCCTCTCAGATCTAGCCTCATGGATGCTTTCACAGAGAATAGCCCAGAGATACAAGTCAACTACTTTGCCTGCTGTCCCACTGAAAAGCAAAATGAAAACAAACATGATTTTCCCAGAACTGAAGGAAAAACTGGCTACAATGGACTTCACAATAGGGATTATATTGGGTCTAACAGGGCACCTTCCTTATGAATTTTCAAAGGCAATTTTGACTAAACTCCGTTTTCTTCTTTTGCTTTGACTTCAACATCTAAATACTATGGAAGATACAACGCCACTCTGCTTCCCGAGCATCGTAAGGTGGTAATTATGGACTAGCCAATATTTAGGCTGATTTAGGCAGTGCTTTGGGTTAAGGAAGGGTTTGGGATCATCCCTTCTACCAGGGGGAGATAAATATCTCAGCGTAAGAGCAACCCAGGAACCTGGCTGAGGGGAGTCGGAAGAGCTGGTGGGTTTGGCTCTTGGTCTACAGGAGACTTGAAGATTTCCCCACCTCTCATCTGCCTCCTGGGGGTGGAGGTTGTGCAGATCTGATTAAAATTGAGAAAATCAGCTGAGAATTGAGACTACTTATGTTCACATAGCTTAACTATTAGAACTGAGGATTGAGACCATCTGTGTCAACACAACTTAACTCTTTCTTCCAGGATGTACTTGCCCAGAAAGTTAAGTTAAGGGTGCATGCCAGTAAATAACTTCACGGCTTGCTGCAGGAAATAACCTACAAAATAATTGGTCCTGGCAAACAGTTTGCTCACTGGGAAAACAATTCACTTATCAAACAACGATTTACTTGTCAAGTCTCACTTCAAGACCCTAGTCTTGCTGTATCCACCAATCCCAAGCTATTATGTAACACACTTCACTGAAGTCCATTCAGTTCTCCAGCTTGAAAAATGCAGCTCGAATTTGGGCCCAGACCCCAAAATCCTATAACTGTGCCTCGCAACCTCCCCTCACTTAGACACTGATAAGACTGTGACCTATTGCTGTTCTCGCTTACTTTATTGAGTAGGTTTAATGAATTTAGCTTTGCTTTATCAACAGGTTCTTCTGACAGATTTTTGTAGAGTCAACAGTTGACCATAATCAGTTTTGGTTTCTTGGAAACAGGAAACATGTAAATAAAAGTTAGTAAATACATGCAATCCATAAGGGTTGAGGTAATGATTAAACACAGTGACTTTTCCTCAGCAATAAAGCAATCAAGTGTCCTTAGTGTTCCTCTCCGGGGGATAAGACCTGGTATTGAAACACTTGCCTATGACAGATTTCAAACACACATTTGAGCTCCATTTTTCTACCTTTTTTACATGATTCTGCATTTTCCAAATTTTCTACAATGACGATGCATTAATTTGAGGGTGAGTAAAAGGAAATAAAGTAAAAAACCACAAGAAGAGAATTAATTCCCAAGTAAAAATTAGAAATGACCACGGAGTCTTCATTAAACACACGCACAGTATCTAAAATACCCGTTTAAAATCTTGTCTCATTAAACAAGCAAAGTAATTTAATCCCATTAACATCAATATGAATACAGAAAAGTTGTACAGTTTTAACCAAGCTGCTTTGTTTCTCTCTTGCCTTAGCATAAGTAGCCTTTGGGGTATTTGCTAAAATATGCCAGAAAATAACATTTAATCAGACTAGAGTGAGGCCCAGGAATCTGTTTGCTTTTTTGGAGCACTTAAGTGATTCATACAATCAAGGGGTAGAACACATGAGACTTAGCATTAATTTATTAGAAGGCAAAGTCCAGCTTCCACCATAAAACCGTGCAGCTGAAAAAGGAAAAGCTGAGCTGTCCACAAATAAAGAAGCCTTGGAGTCTTACACAGTCTCCCTGTGCCTCAGTCCTGTGCCTGTATGAAAGTACTAAATCACAGACTCTCCAACCTGCTGGGAACCATGCTACCAAGCAGGAGCTGGGCTCAGACAAGCTCCCTTAGCGGGAGCTGGCTCAGACAGCAGACTTGCGTCTGCAGCGCCACGGAGCGCCTGCAGCTGCCCAGGCAGCCAGGCAAAGGGAGCAAGCCCAGATCCCCATCAAGGCTTCTTTTTACCTTAAAGAAACTTCCTCGCTTGTCCAGACTGCGGGCACCCATGGTCCAAGCCGACATTTCCCCCGGTGAGGCTCCACTGCACGCCGGGGACTCCTGAAGGTAGAGACATATTTAATGGTTAGTCCAGCCTGTAGGAAATTCCTTTCTAAGCCACAGAACACTCACAACAACAGTCCTGCCAAGATCTTTTTCCGTCAACAACACAGTGCCATTTATTTCCCACCAAGCCCTTACATCTCCTTTCGGCCTGATTTCCTGCCCCGGCCACAGTTCCTCGTCTGTGCCCCACCTCGCTGCCCCACCTCCCACCTCTGCAGCTGACGTCGTCGGTCGTCGGTGGTGCTTAGGACCGCGGGCGCGAAGCATAATGATTGCTTTGTGTGTTTGCTTGACCTCACGCTGAAGTCCAAAAGGGACCAATATTAGATGTCCCCATAATCTGCTCCAAAAGCTTATACATTTAATGTGGCCGATCACAGAGGGACAGCCAAAGAATGAAGTCCTGTATGTCCCAGGAAGTCCTGTTGGAAGGGGGTGAGGTCATTCTTAGCTCTGTTAGCCCTCTCCCCCAGGCAAGGTCAACAGAAGGGCACTGGAAGAAATCCCTCTATTTTTCTCCTTAGAAATCAGAACTATTTGGATGAAATCCTGTGTCACTGTTTACAGAGATCAGTTCACGGAAGGGGACAACATGTAAACAGCTTTATGATCATCCAAGGGGGTGGGGGTGAACTTTGGGACATAAAGAAAAATTTAAAGGCAGGATAACACCACAGTTCCGAATTATAACTGTGGCTATTTGAGCTTGGAATTTCCCCCGCTGGGTCATCAAAACCCAATAATCCTTCCCTCTGGGCCACAAAGCCTTCAACATTCCCTTCTAAGTTAAATACGTACACACCTCGGGCGGCGGACCTGGCCTAAGCCTGGGTGCGTTGAGGGAGTCCGGGGGAGTGTCTCCAAACCCCTCCTTTCCCAGTGAACCTGTCCCAGGAGCAAGAATAAAACCACCCTCCCCTTCCTCAACCAGCTCTTCTTGCCATAACATACACAAGACGTAGCTTGCCCCAAACATGACAATCACAGTGGAAGGACAGTAAAAGAAACATAAGTGAAAACATCTCTTGCACCATTAAGGAATATTAAAAGCAGTTCAGCTGCAGGGGTGGAGTGGGGGAGGCACCAAAGCCCAGGCAGCTGCTGCAGGTTTACTGAGTCTATTTCATTATTAGTCAGGTGGCAGAGAGCCAGCGGCACAAAAGGGACATCGAGGGTGGCATTAGGGATGTTTCAACAAGTGGAAAGGCATAAATCCATGCTGAAAAGTGCACACGAGCAAGGGAGCAACCTTTGCAGAAAGGCTCCTTTTGGCCCCGAGATTTGCCTCTCTGCTCTCATTCCTAGTGAGCTGTGATGACTCGTTCGCGCAATCTCGTGTAGGAAAAAATAACGACATAGTGAACTCCCGTCTCTCCTTCCGGGACCTTCACCTATTTGAGTCATTGCTCCACGGCTCGGTCACTTTAAAGGTTCAGCGGCATCTTTCCTCCATTTCCTTCCACTTGTGATCCCACTGGGATGAAGGCCAGCATTCCAAAACCCTCCTGAGAAAGGAGTGTGCGATTCTGCTGACTGCAGAGGTTCAGGTTCTAGAGCTCATCCCTCACTAGCAAAGTCCGCAGGTTGGAGCAATTCCAGAAAGAAAACACAGTGCCGTGCTCGCAACCGAGAGCAGAACGGGCGCCACACTCAAACCGTGGAGTGTAAACGGTGACCTGTTTAGATCCAGAAGCACACGAATGAAAAAGCGTCCACTGCTTTGAGCCAAGCCTGATGTCTGTGATGTCTGTAATTCCTTTTCTTTCAGACGTTTTCCCAGCAGGGGATTCGACTTAGCCTGGCAGTTCAGGAATTGCTAATGGAGAGCCAAGACTTCATTCCTCATCCAGACCTAAGTTTCTTTGTTCTGTTCTGAAGTTTTCCATATACGAACCCTTTCTGATGAGCCAGGGCAGGCAGAGGATTTTGCCTATAGCAATGGAGCAGCTTGGGTTCCAGAAGTGAACTATGAATCGTTTGTTTTAATTAGCTGCCTGAAAACTGCATGCATGCACTTTAACCTCCAAGTAGTCGCGATTCACCATCCATTTTGGATTCCACGCCGGGCGGGCAGATTCTTCAAGAAATGCAGGTGGCATCTGTCCTTTCTCATAAGGCTGCTCCAAGGTGGAGATGAGAGCAGGTGGCAGGAACACACCCCGGGGTGCCACAGCAGGTACGTATCATCCCACAGAATGAAATGTTGGGACCATCCAACAGCTGGAGCAGACAGTGTGTAGCTTATTATTATTTCTAAAAATAAAGTTTTTAAGAGCCCCGAAGAAGTTCTGGTTCAAGTTCTTTCCTGTTGTACCTATGGTTTTCTTCCATAGGTACAACAGACCATAACCTCTAACACCTTGACTCAATATTGACAGCAATTAAATGCAATTTAAAATGATAACTTTTCCTTTTCACTCATGGTTCCCCATCCCCTCCCTGCAGATGTCACCCCAACGATTTCATCCTAAAACCACCCTAGTAACTGGCTGGAGTAGGAAGCGAAAAGGTACCGTAGTTTGAGAGGCTGTGAAATTCCTCCAGAATTACACCGGTGGCAGCTAGCTCTTTCCTCGTTGTCCTGAAGGGTAAAGCAGATTCTTGAAAAACAAGTCCAGTGCGTCCGTCCCGTGGATCTTTCCAGATGCTAGCTAAAAGCTAGCAAAAAAAAAAAAAAAGAAAAAAAAAGAAAGAAAAGACAGCCCTAATGGAACTACGGACACTGCAAACATTTTGGAGCTGCCAAGCCCTTTCAATAACACCACTGAAAGAATGTAAACGGAGCTGGTCGTGCTAGTCCGGGCTAAAGGACAAAGGAAAGAAGTGACTATTCCTCACTCTCCCAGGAATACCAGGCTCTGTCGCTTTACAGTAAACTTAGCGATGGCTTTACACGTGGCCCTGAGAGTGACTGTTGAGGTGAAGGAAGGTCTGTCCTTAAAACCAGAAAGGGCTCCCGAGTCCTCTGGCTGAGCTCCAGGCTGCGCCGGCTGCCGGTTGAGCACTGCTCAAGGCTGGTTCTCCAGCCCATTCTACTGACAGCCACTGAGGCCAGGTGCCAAGGCCACCACCTGGACCTTGGCTGTGGGCTGGCTGAGTGGGATTGATGCACAAAGTCCCTAATTTCCAGTTCACTGATCAACGGAGCTGGGTTGAGTCACTGGCATTCTTCCAGCATTTGCTCTGCCTGGGCACGGGCCAGACCTTGGCAAGATAAAGGGTCTGAGATGTATTCAGAGAGAGGCTTGTTCCCTCCCCTCTCTTTCCCTTCCCTCCCCTTTCCTCCCCTCTTCTTTCCCCTCCTCTCTCCTTCCCTTTCCTTCTCTTCTTTTAATTTATTTAGTCAAATCATATTCTTCCTATTTTATTTTATTATTTCAATTGACAAGTGAAAATCGTATATATTATGGTGTTTTGAAATATATATACATTGCGGAATGGCAAATCAAACTAATTAATATATGCATTACCTCACACACTTGTCATTTATTTGTGGTGAGAACATTTAAACTCTACCCTCTTGGCAATTTTCAAATATACAATACATTGTTATTAACTATGGTCGCCATCTTGCACAATAGACCTCTTGGACTTATTCTTCCTGTCTAACTGCAAGTTTGAATATTTTGACCAACCTCACCCCAATCCCTTGTTCCCTCCTTCCTATTTTATTTGCTTTAGGTCACAAGTGCAAACCCACAAGAGAAGCAGCAATTTCAATTATATTGGAATTCACCACTCACAAGTCCGATTTAAAAAACTCTTGGCATATTCAAGTTGTGGGTTTTCAATCCCAAACTGCATGAGAGTTGGCTACAAAAGCTTTCTAATCACTACCTTTACTTTTTCTTTTTAGCAGTTGAATGAAGCAAGGCAACATGGACTTCAGTCTTAGTAAACAAGACCTCGTTATTATAATTATTTTACAGCCAGATTGACCCAAGTAGGAGAAAGTGACTCACCCCGGGGGACCTGTCAGGTCAAGTCCAAATCTGAGAAATGCACTTCACCTTTTTGCCTGGTTCCTCAGCCCACTTCCACAGCAACAGCTCTTCTCTCTTTTTAATGCTTTTTGTCTTTTCTAAGAGAGGTTCAAGCAAGTGGCGGCAGCTCTGTGTCTGGATCCAGGGAAGGTTTCTGAATATTTCCATAATTATCTTCGTATTACCACAGATTTTACAAGTTGGACAGAAAAACGTTATTCCAGGCTCTGGCTGGACAATTCAAGGTATGTGGATTAAAAAAAAATTTAAAGCATCTTGTGTCACTGTCCGGCATTGGTTTTCCCCCACTCAATAGTTAATTTTTTTTTAACAGTTTTAAGATCATGAAAACTTTTCACTGAAAAGAGAAACTAATTTATGAAAAGGAAAGAAGTCAGATGTAAAAAACTGTATTTCCAGCCCCCCTTACTCCCTGTTTTTTAAAATAGAATTAAGAGGAACAAGGCTCGGTGCCTCAATATTCCTAAGAGTAAGGAAATAAAACGAAACACGTTCCTTTTTTTTTTTTTTTTGAGCAGAGTCTCGCTCTGTTGCCCGGGCTAGAGTGCCGTGGCATCAGCCTAGCTCACAGCAACCTTCAACTCCTGGGCTGAAGTGATCCTCCTGCCTCAGCTTCCCGAGTATCTGGGACTACAAGCATGTGCCACCACGCCCAGCTAATTTTTTCTGTTTTTAAACAAGATGCTGGGCATAAAACTGTCATTTATGCCACTTACAGGATTGGCCTGGAAATGGGGCTAATTCTGGTGGAGGGCCATCCCTTCCCTCCTTGGAAAACTGGTTCACAGACTCACAGAAACTCTCACCTTGTCCACACTGCAGAAACCCTCGCCAGTGCCCAGGTAGCCACTGGCTGTGTGATCCCCCTGCAAGGGTGACAGGTGGGCCACGTTAGAAAGTCCTCCTTTTCTGGGATAGGAATCTGCCTCTCTCACTTCCCACCGAGTGCCTTCATTTTCCCCTTGGGCCATTCAAGAACTAGCT